TCCGACGTTGCCGTAAATGCCTGTTATAACACTTTTTTGATGTTCAGCTTGAATAAGCTTGTTTTCCAATTCGAATTTTTTTGTGCTTACACGAGAGTAAAATAGTTCTGCACTCTTTTTCATAGAATGATAATCTTTTTTAATTTTATTCGAGTAGTTGTTCAGCATGCTCAAATATTTTTTCCAGTCAGACGAGTCCCAGCCGGGTGGAAACCAATTCTTGTTACCATAACACACCCATTCTGGCCGTATTCCGTTTGGAACAATAAACGAACGTGGATTGATAGGATCAGGTAAAATTCCACCGTCGTCAAAATATCTTAGCAAAAACTTCGTCGTTATTGGACACTCATTGCATATGTAGTCGACACAGTCCCAAAGCAAGCTTCGCAAATCGAGGTCTGGTCGAATGGGAAGCGAACTAAGCGAGTGAGCCACGCCGTTGCTTATTTTTGTGTCTTTGTCGATTATGGCTTTGCCTTCAATCAAAATCAGATCTTCCAATTGTAGTTCTGGTTTTTTGTCAAAACTAAACTCAACGTAATATTTCAGATCGGGAGATTCTGGTAGCAGTTTTTCGTTGTCATTAATTATTTCTTGTACCTTGTTCCAGTAGTTTGTGTTAATGTGAGTCACAAACAACTGTGGGCCCTGATTGTTCAATACCCATTGAAGCTTTTGCAAGTCTTTATAATAAAATAACCCGGGAGCACTCATCCATTTCAAAATTTTAACTAATATTTCTCGGTTTTCAGGGCGCCCTAACGCTCTGAAAAAACAGTCTGGTAGTTTCACTGGGCCAATACGCCAATTTTCGTCTTTTATGATAAAGACGGTGACGGGTCCTAACGGTTCAAGCCAGTCGTCAAAAAGCTTAGACTTCTGAAGAAGAAAGTATAGCTTTGAGTATTCTGGGTTATTTTGCAAATACTTCAACAACGTTGGAGAGTTATCGTGGAAATCCGGGAAAATTGGCTTATCTAATTTATAAATATATCCTCTTTTACAACTAATAACTTCGATCACTTTAGCTCCGTTAACCCACAGATATTTGTTATCTTCTGGGTATAGACCATATTCACTTTTCGATATTTGCTTTTCAGATAAATCACTGCACGCCTTATCGTTCCATTTCGGGCCAAAGAAAACACAAAGCTTCCGTTGTTTATAGTCGCTCGTAAGTTCAATCATTCCTTTGGCGATAACGGATTCCGGTGAAAGAGCTCGTTTAGTGTATGATCGAAGAACCACAGGTTCAAAACTATCCATAATTTTTTCTTTTATCTTGTTACTATCAGATATTAAACCTTCATTTTGGAACAGTAGCTCTGAATGCGTTCTGTTTACATGTATGTTTGTTTGTTTATTTGTCAACTCAGGTATGTCTAAAGGTAGCTTTTCCAATGCTTTGTCTACTGGTACAAAGAGTGTCCCATTGAACGATTTCAGAAATTCGAAACGCTTGCTAGCCTTGAGAAGTTTAGTAAATAAACGTAATGTGGGATCAGTTTCGACGTACTCAAACGGTCTGAGCAACGGAGATTTATTGTATTTAAATAGGATGTGGCTTTCTACATCGATGTTTGTATCGTATTCAATCTTGACGGATTTGTTCATTTCGACTTCTTCAATTCTCTCAGTCTCGACTAAAATTTCATCAACTACTGAAATCGTCGAATTTTCCCTTTTAGATAGTATTAGTTTTGCGATATTTTTAGTAAATAAACTAGTCTTTTCATCATTTTTAATGTCTTTGTCATTCTCATCAGAATTACCATTTTCAAGATTATAAAACAGCGGTTGGTCGCAATAGTTCATTTTGAAATGGTTTTTTACAGCTCTATGCATTTCACAAAAACCTATATCATAGTAAAAATCTTTCTTTTCAACTTTATTTGAAGCTTGTTTCTCTGAATAGTTCGATGTCTTTATTTCTTTTTTGGGAGCATCGTGATTAATTAACGTGTCTGCAAAATACCCTTTTTCAATTAGGTTGGCAGTTTCGGTTTCCTCAACGGTATCTACATGTTTTTTTAACGATTCATCGCTGATGTTCTCCACATTTGATTTACCGGATTTATCTCTAGAAAAAAGCGAATACAACCAGCTACCAAGATCAGTTGCAAAATAAAACGACTCTAATTGTCGATTCAAAGCCGCATTCTGTTCGTTTAAACCTCGACCAGAAAAACTATTTAGCTGGGCATAACAAAATAATGAGCGATTACAAATGAAGTAACAGGCACAGCATAGTCTATAATATTTATTATTGATCATAATAGCATCAAATGTTATCTTTACACATAAAAGTTAATTAGTCAGAGTGAAAACCGGTACGTAAATAAAGAACCATAAAGATCTGGCAATCTAATCAACGGTATTATACACTACTAGCTTAAATTATTGAAATATATATTTTAGATGATTTTATTTGAATAAAATATTTACTATCGGTTGGCTAAAGCTCTGGACGCTTCTAACCATAAATCTTGCAGCTTAGACTCGATTTGCATCATTTGTTTAATTCTTTTCAAATAAGGCCAGGATTTTCGCTCACCAGATTTAATAGCGTACAAAATATCGTTGATAGTAGGAGATTTGGTCAACTTCCAAAAATCTGAACTCGATGTAGGCACAATTGTGCAGTGCCCATCAGCAGACTGGAGTAGAAAAGACGAAATATCTTGACCTTTAATTTTTGGAACTATTGATAACAACAGCAAACGAGCATAATGGTAGTGAATATCAAGTTTGATGTAGTCCCAGATATTAATTAATAAATGCGATATATATTTGCATGTTTCCCTTGAGTCTTGCAACTGTTCAATGAACGGAGTCATGTGTGGATTTGCCTGACTAACCAAGAACGATTTGATGTTGAATAATGTTTGTAATTCGTCGTACGGAATGTCTGAAAGTATACTTCCATCAACATATCGCATATTATTGGGTGCGTACGATCTGATGTTTTTTGATATATGTCGATAATACATTGATTCTAAATAAGAATTGCCTATACAGTTTGACTTTATTTCTAATTTGTCCGAAACAATTTCGTTACAACGTTCTACTTCGTTTGCGTTAGAGTTAACGTCAGAAGTCGAACCGCTATTGACTGTGGAATTGTTCAGTTCGTCTTCTGTTTCTTCAACTTTATTTAATAGTGATAGCTTGTTTTCATTATATATATCTTGCTGAGGTTTTTCAGATTCCTCGTTGATATTATTTTGAGCACGAATTCTACTGTATAATTTCTCAAAAACGTTTAAAACGAATATTTTAAAACGCTTCAACAGTGTTAGCAATTTTAAAAAATAACTAATAAGTCGGTTTTGCTTAGCATTAGTCATAACAAGTTCTTGTGTCAGCTCATCTTTTACTCGATTCGTTGTAGATACTCTGTCTTTGGCAGAATTATAGTCAGTCACGACAGACATAATGCGGTTATCATATTCGTGATGAGCAACATCGTCAGTATTGAAAAATTTGGATTCAGAGTACGATTTGTCGTTGCTGCTGATATTATCCGGAATTATATTTGGATGTGAGTTACCAGTATAATTTAAAAAAGGTACATTGTATTTAACATTATTGTTTACCTCGCCTGGATTTTTATTTAGACTAGAAGCTGAATACAAACCGTCTTTGGTCGATTTGGAGTATAACACAGTGGGAGACAATATCAACGGCAAGCTGCACGAAGCGCAAACAGCACTCCAGATCAGCACGTTAGGAGTATTTATAACGTTGCAAACGAGCGGATCGCCACTTGAAGTCATTCCCGCAGGGGTGGTTGTAATATTGACGAATCTTCCGGTCCGGTCAAAAGCTGTTGCAAACGTAAAATCTCCAAAAACGTCTTGCATGATATCATGGAACTCCTGCTTAGAGATCATATAACCGGTTTTAAAAAAATTTCTAAACTGGTCTTCAAAAGGCGGCATAATGTCTTCAAACAATTTGATTTTTTCCGTATTTTGCATGAAATCTAGAAATTCTTCGTTGGTATGTATTGCTAACAGCCCAACTAAAATGCTCCCACCACTGGATCCACTTATGACATTAGGCATGTAATTATGTTCGATTAACATCTTTATGACACCCAGATGATAAATTGCTAGACCACCACCTCCGCTTAAACATAATGCAGTACGACCTAAAAACAAGCGCAGGTCGTATAAAAAAGCAATATATTTTTCTAGTATCAACCAATTTTCGGTGTTCATATGTGTGTTTAAAACAAACGAATGAATTTCATCGAGTGAGCTGATAGTTTCGTGAATATATTCTTGTACGATATCTTTCGTACGAATAAAGGAATGAAAATACAATAACGGACTGCGTAACCCACAAAAGTCTCTGTTAAATCCAACACGAAGTAAAAATTCCATCTCGTCGATGTTCTTGGATTCTCGGGCAAATTTCAATTCTTTTATATACTGACGCAGCGTTTTGAAGTCGCATTCACTGGTATCTTCTTCTTTAGCCCATTTATCCGTGTTTGTCAGAATGTCGCGTTCTTTTTGTAGTTTGTACCATTCTTCATACGTCTCCGCTTGCTTCGCTTTCCGGTCTATTTGACGAATTTTGCTGTGTTTTTTGCTAAACAGGCTTAGCATCGCCACAACCAAAAAGCCATTGCACGAGCGACTTATAATGTGAATTAAAAATAGTTTTATTATGGCAATCCATATCAAGCTGATTTCAATTATGGCCAGTAGCCCCGAAAAAAGCCTGATAGGATTTATTTCAATGAGTTTTATGGATTTTCGGACATTGCTTATTATCCTCGCTCTATTTTTAAAAGTCGAAATCATTTATAACACCATTATTGCCTAAGCACACGTTAGATTTTTTTATTCATAACCGCAAATAAAAATACAACTATTTGGCAATAAATAACTACATTCTTAAAACACAGATGTGATGTAGTCTCGTAAACTATCATTAAATCTTAGAATATTTAGATTAATATAAGCATGATTTTTTGCATCGATAAATTATTTACTTATTTCGTGATTTTCCTCGTTTTCGATGTCAGATTGAAGGGCCTCAAAAATGTCCTCTCCATCGGATTTTTCTTCGTCCTGGCCAGAACTGAAGTCAGCTTCGTTTGAATCGAGCTCTGATAAGTTTAGTTCAGCTTGAATGTCAGCCCAAGTTGGAATCTGATCCAAAACATATTTGAACCTACGTTCAAAGAACACTTTAATGGACATCGAGTCACGGTCGAAATATTCAGGCGCGGCATGGTGACTGGTCTTAAGACACTGTGGAAAATCAATAATCGTGATAGAATTTGCTGATACAACATTTTCTTCGTCAACGATAATGTTGAACTCGTTGTAGTCACCATGGACGTAACCAAGTTTGGCTATGTCAATAAGAATCTTATACAAGTTATTTACGAGATGCTCAATTTTGTGCTGTTCGAGCTCTCGAATTTTATTTAACTGAACCCCCTTTGCGAATTCCATCAACACAACATGTCTGTTATGATCGATAGGCTCTGGGATAGGTAGGTTTTCAGTTTTTAGCAGTTTCATGTGTTTAAATTCTTGCTCTGCAGATTTGGCTGACAGATGAATCCAGCCTTGGTGGCGAGAACCCTTGCGCAAATAGTCTCTGTTTTTTCTAACTGATCGGAAACTGGTTCTTCCAAGTCTGTGAATTTTCAGTGCGAGAGACGTTTCGTTGTTATAAACAATGTGAATATCTGCCTCTTTTCCAACGCCTATACGGGGACCAACCGAAGTAATCAAACCTGCTCCAATAATGTGATGCAAAGCTAAATAGTCAAAGCCCTTCCATGTAAGCCTATAGCCTTGATGCACTTTTACTCCTTCGTAAGTTAACAAGTCGAAGTTCAAAAGATCTCCAAGCAACTGTTTCAAAGGTAGTTTGCGCAATTTTATATTGCTTTGTAGCGCTGATTTAGGCGCAAATTCGTACTTGAGCATAATGTGCTCGATTGATTTCAAAACCAACCAATGACTGTTGGTTACAAATTGGTAAGCAGCGATGTTAAGCTCCATAAACGTCAAACTATATACATCTCTGACTAAATAAAATTAACACTATGTTTGTTGAAGTACGCTTGAAAATGTAAGGCTGTAGAACAAAAAAAAATATATTATTATCGAAAAAAAACTCGGAGACTCAGTACCTTAAAATAATGCAGGTATTTTTCGCTCTACAAGCCATTAAACAGCTCTACGATAATTTTATCAACTATTTTTGTTTAAAACTAAAGCTTGCTCATTATGTGTGGAAAAGTCGTCTCCATCAATTTATATAATTTTGATGCCGGGGGACGCAGGTTGGGTTTGGGGTCCGTCATATCCAAAATGAGTTTCGCCCAAAAACTTAGGTCCTGTGTTAGCATACCTTTTGGTAGTCGTCTGTAAAACTTTAATGAATTTATGATGCTTACGCGTTCTTGGTTTGATTGGAATTTTTTATAAAACAGCTCTAACAAAATGATTCCTAATGCATAGATATCGCTTTTTTGGCTGTAAGAAGGTTGAGGTTCCATATATATAGGCGTGCCGCATTGCACACCCGCAACAGTTAAATCGTCTTCTATAAGCAGCTTACTTAGACCGAAATCACCAATTTTTAAAACAGATTTTTGAAATAATATGTTTTCGGGTTTTAAGTCTCTGTGAATTATGCTGACTTCATGTATTTCGCAAACACCTTTTAATATCATACCAAACAAACTAATTATGTATTCATATTGACTAGTAGAGTATTTTAATGAGTTTTTAGCATTTTCTTGATTTACTATGCTGATGTGCGTGTCAGAACATTGTTTCGACGAAACTTTCATACTTAATTCTGGAGTATTGACGGTTCTTTCGATAAACTCAACGAGCTGAGTGCTTTCATAGTCGTAGGGTACATTTTGTACATATCGTATTTGTTCGCTCAGTTCATGTTTGTCTGAACTTTCGTCACTGGACGAAGAATCGAAAGCCTCATTTTCCAGTCTTGAAAAAAGCCATTGCCGCAACGTTTCGCCTTCGCAGTATTCCATTTGAATGTACAACTTGATGTTCATCAGTCCGGAATCGATATCTTCATTTGGATTGTTATATATATTTGTCAGGTGACTCGTCAAATCGCTTGATAAGTCACTTGCTGATTGAATCCACCATGTATAATAGCGCACAACGTATTTAGATAGCAAATTTTTACATGCAGAGATTTCTCGAAAAACAACAGGATCTAAAAATGTAGATGAGTACACATTTAAAACTGTTTTAATAACTTTAATTGCGTAATAACTCTCGTTCGGTTCGTAACGATGCAACGCTTTGTAGACAGCACCAAAGCCGCCACTTCCAATCAGTTCACATTTTTTGAAGTTTTTTTTAAAGCGATTTTCATCGAAAATCGAAAGTAACGAGTTTATTCGGCTTGAATTATTCATGTAACCCGATTTACCCGAGTTGTTTTCTAACTCGACTGGGCTCGGACAAACAGAAGTGTTTAGTTTAGTTCCGTGTAAAGGCTGCTTGCTTCGGCGAACTGTTTTGCCGGAGAGCGTCTTAGATTTGGTTTCATATGTACTTAGTTTGGACTTTATAGCAAACAAAACTGATTTAATTACTTTGTCTTGAATTACTCGACTAATTCCTTTGTACAAACTGTTAACCTTTTTATCATCGAACGAAATTGAATTAACCAGTGGAGGAGCGGAGCCGATGTTACTTTGGCTGTCGAATTTTTTATCATGTTCGTTAGATGAAAACAAAATTTCTTCAGAGTAATACCTCAATTTTTTAGGTGAATCAACATTTTTATATGGCTTATGTAAAAAGCCGTTTGAAACTTGTTCCGAGTTGTTGTTTACATACAAAGTCGAGTTGCCTGGGCGATGATTTAAAAGTAAACTTTCGTTATTAGAGTATGAAAGCGTATTTTGTTTTTCTACTCTCGGAGCTGTACTCTTGGCGTCCTTATTTTCGTTTTGACATTTTGAGTATTTAATTCTTGAATAAAAAGGTCTCAGTAAAGCTAATATAAATATTACGCAAATGAAAATAATGTGAAACGTCAAAACAAACCCTTTGTTAGGAGAGGATCTAGTAATGTAACTGGCAAACAGCGGATCTTGAACTATGTCGTGGTAGCAATACGCTTGTGTCGCATTGGAAGGCGTGTTGTCACTTACTAAATCAATTTTATTATCGATATAATGTTGACTCACAGACTTGTTGATTAAGTTTTGACTGGGGTTCGGTTTTGGAATAATATCAGTATTTATGTTCAATATAGAACTGAGATTAGTTTCAGATTTCTGTTTATATTCTTGTCCGTAGAAATATTCTTTTTCGTCAATGGCTGAATAATCATTAAACACAAATTCCAATTTTTTTATCATAGAGTTATTAGCGTTTATATCAAAGAAATTTTTGTATTCTGCTTTCTGTAAAATATTTTCCTGAAAACACGAATACTTTAGCCCGTTAACAAAATTGACAATTTTATAAACATTAGAATTATAATCAGTAATGTCAATGTTATATCTTTTATCATTTTTTTCATTGTCTGTATCTGGATTGTTGTGAACTATATTCGATTTCATATAATAGACATTGGTCAGCTTACTTCCAAGCGTGAAAGTCGTGTTGTCGAGCGCTTCAACCGTCCAAGCTGTCAATACAGGTTCATTGAGTAGTTGATATTTCGTTAAAGTACGCATGTTTGTACATTCATTTTTATAAAGTGACGTGATTTCATCAAGTGTAAGTAGCGGTTGGTCCGAGTAATTGTTTTTGTAAGACTGTTGCATAATCTCAAAAATGTTTTTTACGCTGTTGAACTGAACTATGTTGCCGATAATATTGCAAAAATCAACGTACACGCGGTTTTGATTGATAGTGATGCTGTCTAGCAAGAACTGAAGCATAACTTTATCAGGTATCAGCGTGTAATTGCTGAACGGTACTTGTTCAACTATATTTAATTTTTTCTGATAGCTTAAACCGTCGAAGTAATTGTTAATGATTCGCCACCGTTCTACGTGATCTACCATGTACTGTAAAGAAGTTTTTTTCAGAGAGATTTTGAATTCAAACACGGTTTTGTTATTGAAAACAGACCCTAAATTGTAGTCTAAATTCAATAAAGAACTCTCTTTCGAAGCTTGCAAATATCCTGGGACTATATATTTATGAGTGATGGGTGCTGTATTGATAGCTTTTTTAAAAGTCAGTCCTTGAATAGGAAGTATGACATTTGTATAATCTGAAAAAACAATGTTTTCTTCGCTGTCAACGAATAAACCAACACTTGCACGTTTAATAGCCGATTCTAAAATTAAGTTTTTAAGTTTTCCTACAAACCCGTCAAATTTATCTTGTAATGTCGCCAAGATATCCAAGATTGCCCTGGGACACTCAATAGGCGTATTAAGTATGAACCTCTGAAGAAAAAGAGGGGATTTCGTGTTGAACTGAGAGGTCCATTTTATTTCGCCAGAAATCCAGTCAAATTTCAAAACTGATTCGGAATCGGTTAAAATAATAATCTAAAATCGTTTAGATTCGCCTACAACTTACGCTTTGCAGATGTATTGGGAACAAGTAACGAAAAAATGTTTCCAGCAATATATCACTATCTGCATAATTCATCACAAACGATTGTGCATGGTATAGGGTATTAATAAGAAATATTAGTGAGAATGGTAAATAATTCGTTGAAAAACATTGAAAAATGCAAAATAAATAGCTTAAATAATATGCATCTAAATACAAAAGCGGCTCAGAACTATTGACTTGTGGAAACTTTAAATGACTCAGATATAGACGAAAAAAAAAGATGATCATCAGTCATTTTTACGGCTAGAAAGGCTTAAGATATTTAGTGAAAATGCATGTGAACCCGTTTACAATAATCCAGGCCGATGATAAGAAACGCACGACAAACACAGTAGGGTCTACGGCACTTTCATTAATAGGTCTGCCGATAAAATTAGTTAATATGTTGTCGGAATATTTGGTAAAAAACATATTGAGTGGAAAAGATAAGCGCTGGTTGTTGGGCGTCGTACGCCACATCGACTCAGGGAAGATCAAAAGAGGAATAGATGAGAGTTTGTATATGTAGCCAGTCAAATAGTGCACACAAACCCACAGCAACAACAAGTGAGCAATTCTAATTGCCCCATCCGGCTTAACAGACAAAGACAAAAAGACGTTTCGGATCTTTGGACTGGACAACAAGCATTTCTCACAAATGTTTAAAGTCGGATAAAGAGCTTGGAACCATTTGTGACCATGTTCATTTATCTCACACATTATTTTGGAATAACTTTCTACGCTCGTGCAGTGACCTAGAGAAGCTTTTAAATTTGCAATGGAATTCTTGTACTTCTGCGCGACGACATTAGAAGAACACTTTTTCAAAAACTGCTCGAAGTATTTTCCAATCAAATGAAAAAGTAAAATGAGTAATACTTCAACGATGAATATTTTGTCAAATAACTGCATTAGTCACGGTGATTTCTTTTTCTATTGCGATCAAAGTGAGTTACAATATATTTAATTGTTTTTATATTTCGTTGCATTATAAAATATATTTAATTAAAAATAAAATACATTGTTCCAGCCTGTAACACGTTCAATAGCAACAGTCACAGTCGAAAGGACACAAGCGAGTGTTTTTGGATTGGCCCAACTTAAGCTCTTCTTCTGTGTATACTTTCCAACCTTCTTCCGTGTAAGATCTCGGTTGTCCATCCTCGCGTAGATCGCCGAGGCTGAGGTCTGAAATTAAATCAGGTTTTAAAAAAGGCTTAGTTACTTTATTTGAACTTTTCTTTTTACTCGCAGGTTTTACAGCGACAACGACTTTTTTTTTGTCAGTTTTACTTTTTTTTTTTGGTATTTTTTTTAATAGTTCTTGACAATTTTTTAGCAGCGCTTCTTTGCTTTTTAACGCTGCTTTATCG